TATTTTTTTTTAGGATCACCCTCACAACAACACATCAAAGAGTAATGTATCAATGTTAACAATATCTAGAAATGTGGTTAAAATCTCTTAGTTGACACATTTTTTCAGCTCTCAGTTGACATATTTTTCTATCTTAAATTATGAGTTCAATATCTATTAGGAACAAAAACTCTTCTTCCTCTTTTAAATTATTTAAAAAATAAATAAAGTAACATATCGACATGAACTCACAACAATTGTCAATAAAGAACAACAAAATATTTAGTATCAAATTACAAAAATAAATGTTTTGACCTTACTATAGCTCTCAAAAGACTAAATAAAACTTTGTAAAGGTTTTATTTTTTATCTAGGACGATAGATGAGACGAAACAGATCATAAACCATTCAAGTTCGACTATAGTTAAAATTCAGTTAACAGATAATTCGAATGAATTTGATTCAGAAAACTCATGAAAATTTTAAAAAATGTTAAAATTTTTACTTTTTAAATTAAATTATTAATATTATTACATTTATATGCTATTTTAAAAAAACAGTACATGGTTTTCATGTACTTAAGGTTCAGGTTTGAGTTCGAGCTTCAATCGAGCTAAGTCTTAGAATATTTCGAGTTTGAGTAATTTTTTTATAGTTTGAATCAAACTTTATTTTTTGATTTCGAGTTTGAGTCGAGTTTAACAAGCCTAAGTTCATGAGATTTTGAGTCTAATTGAATCAAATTAACAATATTCGAACTCGACTCATTTACAGTTCTCCTTTCATCTTCTCCTTGATTTTGAAAGTGTCTACTTTCAATCCTTATCTTGAAGCTTAGAAACATAAAAATAAGGAATAAGATCATAAATCAATACCTAAGGTGCTCAAATAATGGTAGATGAAGTGATGACAACAAACTAAATTAAAATAATATGGAGTTTTCTCTAAACACTTCTATATATTTAACGCTCTCTAAAATCCTTTCTAAACTCTCACTTGGGATTTTTAAGATTTATTATGGAAATTCAATTCAGTATCTAAGGGCTAAAAATTGCTTTTGCAATTTCTCTATAACATACGTTCGTTTTTATTAAGTCATAAGGACTCTAATTTCCATTTAATTCTATTTTAATCCTAAAAGTTGTTCATTTAATTTTAGTCTATATTTAAGGAAACAAGATGTGGTGCATAAATTTCTTAAAATTTCACCTTTATTTCTTTAGGCCGCCACTATTCTTAAAACTTTTTGTTTATGTCCTTGTTGGAAAAATTTCTTATGTCACAAGAGTACGCAATTAACCACTAAAGAGTAAAATAAAATTATACAAGAAAATGGTAAAAATACAATCAAATAACTTGAAAAAAAAATGATAGATACAATCAAACATCGTTGTTGACGATGAAAAATAAATATCATCAACACTAACATAAAAATACATATAAACAATGACGACACTTTGATAAATTAACTTATGATCACAACTAAATTGTGGCATTATTTGGTGATTGTGAAAGTTTATCAATAAAAGATAATCGACTTGAGGATTCAAAACAGTGATAGATCAACAATATAATTAAATAAGCGTTAACTATAAAGTTTATATCAAATTCAATCCCAAAAAAAAGGAAAAATGTATTATAATAACAGAGAAACATGCTACAAGAGAAGAAAAAAATCCACCTTTTCATCAAAATTTAAGGAGTTATTAAAACAAAATAACACATAAAAAAAGGATAAAATAACAAAAAAAATTATAAAAAAACAGCATGAATGACAATCGTTCGATTAAAGGTTGATGGGGTCACTCTTCTAGAGAAAAAAAGAAAGAAAAGAAAAGTCACATATAATCCATTTTACTGATAAAAAATTTAAAATATTAAATAAATTCTTATAAAAATATTCAAGTGTAGAAAAAAAACCCTTAAACAGAAATTGCAAATCACAATTTTTATGGTATACAATATTCAAGTAAAATGAACTTAAAGTATTTCAAGGTGACGAATATGAGTTGGAATGTCTAAGAATTTATGTTTGGCACGTTATTTAATTATCAAATGTCGAATAATACTAAAATAGAATAGCATTTATTATTCTAACAAAAGTGTCGAATAAAATAGAAAAAATAATATGTTTTAATAGTAATACCTTTTATATTAATTATATTAACTTATGAGGGAAGCATTTGTCGGTAGGCAATGCATTTATAGAGGTTGGATAAACGAGCTCAAGAATCAACAATTGAACCCTGAAAATTACTAATGGAGTAAACTGTGTTAGGAGGATTGCCTTTATCTCTGTAATATCCGATCTGAATTAACCGATCAATAGAGACACCGATGATTATAAAAAAAATGAGCTCAAGACTTTTTGGGAAGTCTACCAAACCCACAATGACTTTAATTTTCTAGATTGGTTGCTTATTTTGGTTCTAACGTATGAACACAATGTATTTAATAATCATTAAATAGTGTACATTGAAATATTCCTTTGAATTGCATCTCAATAATTTTTCTTTGAATAGGAATAACAATGGCCGTTTTGGTACTTTTCCTTTTCTAGATATTGCGAATTTAATGGAATTAATGTAATAAAATCCACAAACGCGATTTTGTAAAATATACATAAATGGCCATCCATTATGCGTTTTTTTATTAATTTAATTATTTTATTATAATTTGAACAATTTAGTTATTTTATTTTTTAAAATATGCATTTTCGGTTTTTAAACTAACTTTTTTTATTGTTTCTCTCAATAATTTGATATAGTTTTTTAAAATGTAACGATTTAATATTTTTTTTATTGTGGATAGTTTTTTGCACATTTACAAAGTGAGGAAAAGAAAATGATATTTTAACGAGTAAATATTGACATAAAACCTGAAATACGTTAAAAAAATGCATAATTTAAGTATTTTTTATACTATTTAACAAGCATAAATCATTGAAATTATATTATTTTTAACACGAGTAATGAATAATAGGGTAAATTACAACATAAGTCACTAAACTATGAATAAATTTCAAAATTGGGACACTCATATTTTAAAAACATGCAATATAGTCATTTTATTTTTCAATTATAACAACCAAATTACTTTTCCGTTAAGGGTATACTATATAGAGTTACATGATTGTAGATAAAAAGTTTATCTGTTATATACTTTAACGCTAAAGGGATATAATTATTACTATCGATGAAAAAAATAATGACTATAAGGGTAAGCATCCGATCGAGTTGAGTCAAGTTAAAAATTTTTGAGTTATTCGACTTGACGAGTCGTATTTTACAACTCAAACTTAACTTGAAATTTTTTCGAATCGAGTTATTTGAGTTTCTATACTATCGATGTTATTTAATATATCAAATACAATCTAAAATTATGAAATATATTCATAATATTATATTTTTGAAGAAATTATTTTGAGGGTAAAATATTAATGAGAGTATAAATGAGTTAATGAATTGATGAGAAGAAAGAATTTGCAAACAATGTAGTTAAAAGATCAAATTGAGTAAAATGCAAAGGTAAGGGACTAAATTGAAAAAATAAAAAATTTGTTATCAAAAAGAGGAATTGTAAGTATAAATGTATTCTACTATGATTTAGGAGCATGTGACTCAAATTTGGTAAAAAACGGAGGACTAAAAGAAGAATAAACATGTAAAAAAACAAAAACAAATTGAAGATTATGAAAAATTGAAGGACTAAATTGAAAATAAAAGCTTGTTATCAAAAAGAGGAATTGAAATTAAACATGTATTCTACTACATATTAGGATCATGTGACTTAAATTTGGTAAAACATGGACTTAAAATAAATGACGAATTGAATAAAAAAAGAAGATTATGAAAAATTGAAAGACTAAATTAAAAAAATAAAATTTGTTATCAAAAAGAGGAATTGAAAGTAAACATGTATTCTACTATGGTTTAGGAGCATGTGGTTCAAATTTGGTAAAAAAATGGACTTAAGATGAAGGAGAAATTGAAGAAATAATGAAATAAGGGATTAAATCGTAAAATTGCCAAAATATTTAGCGAGTAACTCGAAAAATAAAAAATTCAACTCGACTCGAACTCGAAACCAAATTTATAATTTGAGTTAACTCAAGTAACTTGAATAATTCAACTCGAATAAATCAAAATTGAAAAAAAAATCAATTTTTTGAATCGAGTCGAGTCTAGTTTTGCTTACTCCTAATGACTATAACATTTTCGAAATATTGACTCAGTTATAAAGTCGCTCATAATATAATGACTTGTGATAAATTTACCCTAAGTGATAGATGTAGCTAGAGGTGCATAAAAAATCTCAATATCCGATTTTACGTAAAAAAATATCTAAAACTAGATTTGGGAAAAATTGGTTTTTTTAAACCGGTTCGGATATTTAAAAACTGAATAGTATAACCGATTTAGAAAAAATTGGACGATCGATTTTTTTACCGGATAAAAAATCGGTTTTTATTAGAAAAAATCAAGGTATGGAGTTTTAAAAATTAACCTTTAATATAGTCGTTGGGGGGTTTTGTGATAGTTTTTTTTTTTTAAAAAAATCACCATTTTTCTACCATCGATTTTTTTATTTTCGGTTTTTTTTAAAAACTGATTTTTTTTCAAACCTAAACCTGTTATACCATCCGGTCCTCCAAATCGATTAAGATCCGAATCGGATGAATCAAATTTTTTTAAATCTGATTTTTTAACTAGGTGAAAAAACCAAATTGACTTTTATTCGATTCGAATCGATTTTTTATTTGTGCATGTCTAGCTGTAGCTATGATGGTTACAATTAAGGCAGATCGCGTTTTTCATTCTACATTTCCTTGGGCTTCGAGTTCTAGTCTACATTGGAAATTTTTTTCCTTAAAAATCAGATTCTTTTCCTGTCTTCGTTTTTAAGATAAATCAGAAGCTAAATCTAAAAATAAACCAAAAGCCAAAGCCTGCCACTTTGACTATCATAGATTTCTCTCTCGTCTTTTCTTTGGTATTGTTTCTGGGTTTCAAAGATCATGGCGTCTCAAGAACACATGGAGAAGATGAAGCTCCGCCAGAACTATCGAAATCTCTGGCACACCGATCTCATGCACACCATTCAACAGGACACTCCTTGTAATTCATCTTTCTCGCTTTTTGTTTTTGTTTTTTTTTTACGTTTGATTGATTGTTTTATTAATTTATTTTTTTGCAGATTGCTGCTTGGCTCTTTGGTGGTAAGTAATTCCAAATCTTTCTATTTTTGGTGTCGTAGATCTGATTCTGACTCTCCCGAGTTCTTTTCTTTTGATTTCTTTTGTTTTGTTTAGTTAGCTGCAATAAGGTTTCTTTCGTTAGTAATGGTTTAGGGCTTAAACGTTGGTGACTAGAGAGTTGACTCTGCCTGATTTTCGTGTTTCTAAAATGTCTTATCTCGCCACTAGGATTTTGATTTCTCTGATCTATGACTGGAGTTATGCACTTTTACCATGGAAATTGAAAATACTCACCTCTGGCTTGGACCTTCACCTCTTTTTATCCTGTTTACTTAGTAATCGACAGGAATGGACTTTTATCCTGGCTTTGATTTCAAATTATCTTATATTTTAGTTTTTTTTCTTTGTATTTTCTATTGATAAACTGTTTTCACCCCTAGAATTTATAGGTTTGCCACTCAATTTTACAAGTTCGGCCCCTACTTCCTAGTATAAAATCATGCGTCCGTCCCTCGTAATTGATGTGTAATGTTGTGCATAATTTGATGTATTTTCTACTTCCCTCGATGTTTTAGAACGATCTAACTTCTAATCATAAATTTCTGTTCACCAATACATGTTGTTTTCCTTTTACTGCAGTGGACCATGTGTATCCTACATGCTCCGGAAACGAGCGCTTTATAACGACATGTCAAGGTAATTGCTGTATTTGATCCCTCTTTGATTACAAGTTGACGAAGTGATGATATCTTGGCTTAAGCATCTCGTTTTGTTTTTGTTGTAGGTATACATGTTGCGCTGGTTATATGCCATGCAGCGGTAGGTGTGGAGAACGTAAATGTCCTGAGTTTTGCCTTTGCACTGAGGTAGGAAGTTTGTCTATATGCTCTCTATGGCTTTTTTCTGTTGCTTCAATTGCAAGTTTGATTCTCAATTGCATGTGTTCTCATTTCCAGGTTTTCCTCTGCTTTGGAAACTCGGTGGCTTCGACCCGATTTCTTTTGCAAGATGAATTCAACATTCAAACAACCAAATGTGACAATTGCATTATTGTAATCTATCCCTTTTTCCATCTAATGTATCTTAATTACATTTGCACTTGCTGGCCATTGATTGCTGCTTGATGTTTAGGGTTTCATGTTTTGCCTGCAACAACTTGCCTGCATATTTTCCATAGTTGCTCTGATTGTTGGAAGTGATGAGATTCAAGATGCAGCACAGCTACTGAACTGTTTGGCCGATATGGTCTATTGCACGTAAAGTATTCTGTTCCATTCAGCACTTTCTATCTCTAGCTAATTTTGCCTACCGACAATACACTGACAATTTGGTTTTATTGTCCTTTGCAGGGTCTGTGCATGTATGCAGGTATGAAGAGTTTCAAAACATGAAAAATGGCATTTGTGTTATCCTTATTTTGAACCATTTCTTAATATTTGTTTGATTACAGACGCAACATAAGATCGAAATGGACAAACGAGATGGTAAGTTTGGTCCGCAACCAATGGCAGTGCCCCCTGTTCAGCAGATGTCTCGCCTTGATCAAGCAGTTCCTCCTGCAGCTGGTTATCCACCAGCAGCATATGGACAGCCTTATCAACAGCCTCAAGGTTACCCGCCATCCGGATATCCTCCTGCTCAGTACCCTCCAACTGGTTATCCTCCTGCTCAGTACCCTCCAACTGGTTATCCAGCACCTGGTTATTGAGTCATGGATGGAAATTCAAGGTGATCTTTCTGGTTTGAATTTTGGCTTGAATCGCCTGAACCTGAGTTACTGAGTCATGGATGGAAATTCAAGTTTGCATGTTGCTGGGGTTTATATTAATATACTGTGTGTGATTTGCTTCACATTGCTGATTTTGAACAGCTAAAGGTTTAAGCGTTGTGACCACAGCTTGTTTATCGTCAATAACTTTTACTTAATGTTTCAAACGCGAGTGTTAATGTTTATTCATTAAATATATCTTATAATTCTTGATATGTAAACCAATATTTTTAAAATTTCATGTCGCCTGGTAGTTTTTCAATATCTACTACAGAGTCGGTTACCCCATGCTATTGAAGTTAGGGTTAGACATTTCCTCGGATTCGATAGATTACGACTCAATTCAATTGGGTCAGTTTTTCTGTTGTTGAATACATGGGTTAAGGCTTTTTTTTTTATGAAGGTGTGGTTGGGTCAGGCTTGGATTTTAGGTAAAAATTATGAGTATCCCATATATGTAAGGACAATTGTAATAGTGGTTATTTCTATATTTTATTGGATGGTCATGTAATTGAGCATGCCGCTAATTCTTCAATTAATAGCAATAGCTTAGAGAACAAAAATTGAAGTCATCTGTTGTATGTTAAATTGTTTGTTTGGAAAGGATAACTTCCATGGAGTTATTAAGGAGTATAGAGGTGATGTTATGGTGTTACTTGAAACTGGAATTAGTGGAAGCAGCCATGCGGATGATGAAGAGTTTGATATTTATGGGGAAATTTGCTGATGCGAGGAGTCGCAAGTTATCTTGGATCAAGAGTAATTGCCATTCAAGCAAAAATCCCCTTGTGACTGCCAAATTAACTATGTTAATGAACTATTTTCTATTTCTAATCTTTATCATAAAATCTTTTATCCAACTATTTTTATACCGTGGATCAAACCACCTACCGAAACGAGATTCACATTTATATTTTTTTTTGACGGTTCGAATTGTTTTATGGATAATGAGATCTCTCTTAGGTGGCGTTTGGTTGGATGGAATTTCTTGGAATTGAGGGGAATGGAATCCAATTTCACCACTTTCTCATGTTTGGTTCAAGTTTTATAAGGGAATTGGATTCTCTCATGGCTTCAACTTTTCATCAAATGAGGGAAAGTGAATTTCATCCAAGAATGGATAGAATTCAATTCTCTTGTTGGAGAGAATTGAAATTTAACCATACTACCCTCATCAATCTTTTGGTAACTATTATATATTGAATAAAATATTTTATTATTATTTCGGGTCGGGTTTCTAATTCATATATTCGGGTCGGGTCGGGTGAAACTTTATTTTGGTTGGGTCGAGTCGGTTTTTTAAGTGTGCTATTCGGGTCGGGTCGAGTTCGGGTTTAGGGTAAAAAATACCCGACCCGAAAATATATAATTTTACCTTATATATTTTGAATAAGTACAATAATATATCTCTCTCTATATATTTTTCAATTAAGTCACTGTTTTTATTGAATAAATAATTTTTATTATTTGGGTCGGGTCGGATTTCTAATTCATATATTCGGGTCGGGTCGGGTGAAACTTTATTTTGTTCGGGTCGAGTTTTTTAAGTGTGATATTCGGGTCGAGTCGAGTCGAATTTTTTTAAGTGTAATATTCGGGTCAGGTTTTTTTAAGTGTGATATTCGGGTCGGGTCGGGTTCGGGTTTAGGTGAAAAAAATCAGACCGACCCGAAAAAAAAATATAATTTTACCTTATATTTAGCAATATTTACAATAATACCCCTCTATATATAATTTTTCAATTAAGTCAATGTTTTATTGAATAAAAATAATTTTTTTTATTTTGTGTCGGGTCGGGTTTCTAATTCATATATTGAATAAAAATAGTTTTTGATATATTTTTTGGTAACTAATTAACATACTCCGATTGGAATGTATCGAAATATTGCTCTATCTTTTGGTAACTTATTAACATATTTTGATTGCGATGATTTTAACTTATGATGTTTATTAGCATGATTTTTATAATTTATTGAAATGAATAATCAATCAATAAAATGAAAATTTAATATTTTTTAATTTTTTATAATATATTACTACATGTAAGTTTTAAAACAAACTAAAATAAAGCAAAAAAAATAAGAAGGGCAATTTTATCATTTTACATTACTGAAATCAAATTCATCTGACATGTTTGCGAACCAAACAGAATATGTAATTGAATTTCAATTCCATTTCCTACCAACTAAACAAAATATGGAATTGGATTCCAATTCCTAACATATTCTAATTCCTTCGCAGATTCCAATCCCCTCATAAACATTCCAACGAACCAAACGACATCTTAATCTTTTGTATAAACTACATTTAATACTTTATTGGCGAGCAAGCAGCACAAGAGGAGTAAGAAAGCGGTGCTATATGAATACAAGTCACATGATACCCATGTAAAGTTTAGTGTTTATTCTTAAATATATACATAAAATTGTAGGAGTGAAAGGCCCAAGGGATAAGAAGAATTGAAATGCAAGGCAAAAGACAAATGGCGAGTTGTGATTAAAAGCAATTTTATAACAAAGAGACACTCCTCAATTTGTCCTCCTTTAGCCAATAAATGTGTTTATTAAATTCAAACTTGCTTGGCTTGTGACTGTGACTTGGGATCACTGCTTTCTCCTCCTCCACATGTCCACTACTCAACTAGAAATCTTAATCTACTTTCCAGCTTGGCTTAGAATTTTATAACGACCCTTTAGGCAATGTAACTATTAAAATTTGGCTTAGAAAAAATGGTTACATTTTATTATGGAATATTCTTATTATAGTAGAAGAATAATTGTTTACCAATGTCAAAATTTTGTCATAAGAAAATAGAAGAAAAATGAATGAAAGAAAAAGTGTCAAGATCAAGTATGGGATCACATGATTATTCATAAATCGATAAAGTACATATACATGATAGATGTAATCAACTGTCAATTATCTTGATCTTAACAATCTACGCAGAATTATCAGAAACCACGTCGATAATTTATAACTTTTGAGAGATACAAACTAAAGAAAATATATATTCAAAAGGCTTAATATAAAAAAGTGCAGAAATTATGTCTCGAAAAAATTTTAGTACCTAAAGAATTTTTCGTTAAAAATAGTGCCTAACGTTTTCTCGATTATATTTTAGGTGTCTACCATTTAATTTTTAATTTTTAATAATAAAATATATTTTTAATTGAAAATATAAAAATAAAAAAGTTTAAGTTATTTAAAAAACCCCAACCTTTTTACTAAAAATAAAAAACCCTTAAAAACCAAATTTCTCATTTCAACCTATTATCAACTGTCGTCGGTCATCTCTGGCACCATCGTCATCGCCAATAGTCACCCTCCCGCGTTACCCACCCATTGATCAATCATCGTCCTTACCGTCACCCAAAACCCTAAATTTAATCCCAATATCCAAATCTCTAATTCCTAATTTTATTTTATTAACCCAAAGGTCGCGGCAATCTTCGGTCATCGTCGTCGTCGCCAAATGTTTGAGTTTTGATTGGAATTGCACGGTTGTTCAAATGGTGTAGGCGGTCTAGCTATGGTAGTCAGAATCGACGGATACGTGATGGTGGCTTAAAACCGATAAACCTTGAATGCTTCTCTACGGTATACAATGACATGTTACGACGAAAGGTTAACAGGGATTGATCGGGACTCGGCGTCGATGCCGATGATAGTGGTAGTGATGGTATCGTTGGTCGATGTAGAAGGGGGAAGGACAAGCGCAAGGGGGCTTTTTTTAAATATTTTTTTTATTTTTAAATAAATTCTCAAAATTACTAAACTTGACTCATATCATTTATCAGATGTATTTAATAGCGGTTAATGTCCGAATACCTAAAAATAACGTTAGAAACATTAGACACATATTTTAACGAAAAATTCTTAAACATTAAAACATTTTTCGAAATATAATTTTAGCACTTATTTTATATTAAACTTAAATGCGGAGAATTAGTCCTAAAGTATAAATACAAAAATGGTACACAACACATTTAGATTATTGTGTTATCTTTTTTATATCTAAAATATTTATATACATGTTTTATATATTTTTTTTACAATATACATATTTATATTTAATATGATATATAAGTTGACATATTTATATATTTATGTTTTAGTTTTCATATCAAATGCTATTTTAATTATTTTTATATACGTGGGTCTTAACTTTGTGATAATGTCGTATTTTAAAAACTTTGATATCTTAAATTTCAATGGTACTATAATACAAACATATGAATTTTCTCCATATATTATAATTGAACTTCCATTATTTATGATATGGGATAAGAATTTCTCTCTCTTAATGTCCCTAATGGCGTTCCATTACATGTTTAGAGTATTGATGGTCATATGATAATTCTATAGTTGATTTGTGGATCTAAATCATATATATTATTTATTAAATTTCGTAAATAATTTTAAGATAAAATTTCTCTAGAATAACGAAATGTGATCAAGGTATAACAAATAGTAATAACTTTTTCATCGTTACTTATGAGGAGGAGAAAAGTATTTGAATTTTGAAACTTATGGGTGCTTATATGTAGGGATGTAAATAAGATGAGGTAGATCGTGAGTTACTCAAGATCAACTCGAATGGACTTCGAGCTCGACTCGAGTTATTAACGAGCCGAAAACGAACTACTTGACTCGACTTGAAAAGTTCGTGAACAACTCGAAAATATAATATTAAGATTTTTATTTAAAAAATAAATTAATAATATTAACATTTATGTGTTGATATTTTAAAAAAATTTCAGTATAAGATTTTCATGTATTTACTGTCAGGTTCGAATTTGAGTTTGAGCCTTTAATCGAGTTAAGTTTAATATTTTTTTTCTTTTCGAGTCTTTTCGAGCTTCAGTTTATGATTTCGAGTTTAAGTCAAGTTTAAAAATTTTAGTCTCGCTAGTGTTTGAGTCGAGTCAAACTTCATTTTAAAATTTTTGAATAAAATCAAGCTCAACAATACTCGAACTCGAAGCCTCATTTACAACCCTACTTATACACAATTCTTTTCCCAACCAAAAATAAGTAGCATTAATTAATAAAAAATGATACCAAGTAAACTTGTCCCAAGGAAAGTAAAGAGCCACAAATTGCACACAAGTACAATACCAATCCTGCCTATTGAAGCAAATGAATGACTGATATAGAAGCAAA